CTTTACTAACCACTCATTTTTACATTGTAACATTTTCTATACTCAGTTTCTATTTTTTCACTGCTTACATCAAATGTTTCTTCTGTTTGCCATTTGTCATTATCTTATCTTTTATTTTCTCTGTCACATATTTTAGTATTGCATTTTTATTTCCATATCTGTTTTTCCATCCCTGATTTAATTCAACAATACTACATGGTGGCCCAATATCTGGTATAACTGTTCAAAATCATTACTGCTATACCTCAGGGTTCATATTATTACTTAAACTCACATATTTATTTACTAAAAGCATTTTTCATTTTTGAATTGCAATGTTTACTTATCAATTTAGCTTCTTACTGCTTAATCTTTAAAATTAATTTTTTAACTCACTCTAATGCATTCTTTAACATTTACCTAGCTTCTATGATTTTCATCTGAATCACTGTACTTTACTACTAACAAATGACATAGCTGACTTTGAGAAAGATGACAAAACATTTTTTTCCCCTTAAATCCAATCAAATTCTCTAAAGTCAATTATTTCTTTAAATTGTTACTGCTTTTTTCTTTTTATCTTATCTGTTCAATGTGCCTATATTGTAAGCATATTTTAAACATCTAATTTTATCTATGAAACAGTGGACTTATTTTTTCTATTTCTATTTTATTCTTTTTCCTTTCTGTAATTTAAGTTTTTAGCTCTTAGGTTTTCTTATACATTTTAAAACTTATTTTGTTACACATTTTATAATTAAATCTTCAATTAATCAATATTCATTTTCAAGTTTTCTTTTTCTATTTTATTCTCAATCAAAGAACTAACTTATAATTTATTCATTCATACTTATTTATTAAATCTATTTGTTTATTAATACATTCTTTTACTCTATACTTCCTTTATCTCTATATATATTGATCACTATGGCTTCATTTATTCTTTTTCATTAGTAAAGTTTCAAACTCTTTTCTATATAATATAACTCTATTATTAGTTTTTCCACATTTAATTTATCTTACTATACTACTTTATAATTTATCTATTCATTAATAACTTATATTCTATCCAAATTATGTTAATGTCTATGTCATTATTTTATCTATAGTTTGATCTCCTCTCATTAACTCTCCTCTTCTCTGTTTCCCTAGTGCTGTAAATAGACAATCTATGTATTGTTCCCACATGGACACCATAAATCTCTCTCTTACCCCCATCCTGGAGCAGACTGTCTTTCACCTGTTGCTATGTAAATAATTTAAGTTCACTCTGCCTATTGTTCTTTTTTAACATATTCAAACTTAAAACACAAAGATAATTTCAGAAAAATGTTTATTCTTCTGCTTTTTACTCTGTGTCTTTCAAATGCACATGTTCCATTAGTTTTGATTTAGGAGATTTAGGAGACTCCTCCTTTATATTATAATCTCTTCTCTTAAACTGCATCAATCACTTTTCTACTTGCTCTTTAAATCACACCACACATATGCAGCCCTACTTTTATATAATCTACTATAATCATTATTTTAACCTACTCCTTATTGAAAACATACTTTTAAACGCATTCACACTTCTAATTTTATTACTTTTCCTCTTCTCATTCACTCCTCTCCTCCACTCAGTGTAACAGGAGCTGCATCCCCCCATCCTCATTCCATTCTAAGAGGAGGAAGGCAGTCTTCTCTGCCCACCAATGTGGACTATTGTGCCACAATCTGAAGCAGCAAATACACAAACACTTCAATTAAATAAATACTCTACACTACACTCCTCTTGAGTGACCTGTCCGAGCAGCCCTCTAACCTTAGAGCGGTAACCACAGGCTTTCGCCTACCCATGCAGCCCTTTGTTTATCTCCTCAAACAAAGCGGTATCGTAGGTCTTAGCGCGCATCTCTCTACTTTAATCTGCTTTAATCTCTTAACTGTTACCACACATTAAGGACTCTCTCTTAAAACTTATAAATGCTCTATGCATATCTTACATCATTAATAATTTCCCAAATCTGGGTAACAGTTACTAGTTAATGTTTATCCTATCCATCAAGGCCCTCTTAGGAAAACACAGATCATTTGCATGCAAATTACTCTTTTTCTTCTGTTATTCAAAACCCCTTTTTTCTTTAATATCTTTTTTACATTTACTTTTAATTCTTTAAAGCTGGAGAAACAGTTCAAGTGTATTTACCTGTACAAGCAGGTCCTGGTAGAAAAAACACAAACTAATAAGCATAAAATCGCTTACCGTTTTTTATTGTGGCCACATATTTGTGTTTTCTCTCCAGTCCAGCATGCACAGTAACACCAGTCCTGCTCCTTTCCAGCCCACCCAGGGACGCCAAATGTGGTGGTTTTCTTGGTTTTTCTCTTACTAAATCAAACTCAGTCTGGAGGTTATGAATATCAGAAGAATATACTTTATTGTCGACAACAAAGGAGAACTTTCAGGAGACCCCCAGTAGCATCTCTGTCTGAAAAATTCTGCCTCACTCCTGTTCTGGCCTTATTTAAATACCCTTTTACATCTATTGTTTTCCTTTGTTCTCCATATATTACACAAGATCCCTCCTAGTTTAACCCTTGACCCCAAATTCCACCTCTGTCATCTGTTTTTGTCTTAGCTCTACATATATCACACAAATTCCACCTAGGTTAACCCCTGACCTCAATTTCCACCTAGGTTAACCCCTGACCCAAACCTGGTAACTATATAACTTATCCAGTTCTTGTGATATGGTAATTCTTCTAATGGTATGCAAGTCTACAAGCAGATTATATACATACACTTTGAATATATATATTAACTTCACACTTTAAAGAGTATAAAATCCACTTCACCCACCCTCCTCCTTCCCTAAATCCAACCAATTTTATCGATTGAACCGCCCACTCACTTACTTCCCTAAACCCAACCAATGATTTTCAAAAGCCGTCCAGAAAAAGAAAAGCCCTCGTCTGATTTTTACCATGTTTTTGGATTTTACCACATTCTCACCCTGTTATTCACTCATTCATTTTATTTTTTTGATTCTGTTTTTGTTTTACCTGATTTCTGGAACTGCTTTTCCCTGGACTCGAATCTCGTCATCATCGTCATCCTGGTTAACTCCTCTCTGGTGTCTCAAGTCCGTTGACGTACACGACGAGCTAACTGGACAAACTGGTTGCGGTGGGAAAGCCCTCCACAGTTAGCGTTTGTTTAAAAAAAAATTTAATGCAGCCATACCATACGTACCTCCGGCTACATAATTCGCAGTCTCCAGAAACGTCCACGGGACTATGTTTTCAGAACGTATGTTTGTGTTCACATGCTCAACAGAAATGACTGCAATTTACCGTGAAGGTCATCAGTTTACCAAACTCACTGCTGTTTACTGAGTGTAACCACACATATTCAGGAACACTGTGTTTAAAGTCACATCCATCAGCTGATTTTACTATAAGCTGACATATGAGCAATCCGCTGATGAATCACGGCTTTAAAACGCTCCAGTGTAACACAGATAACAGTTATTTTGAACACTTTCTATAGTGTTTTATGAAAATTCAAAGGGTTTTCTTTAAAATGATACCAAATTTTTGCATTTACACCTCTGCGTGTGAAGCTTTTAAATTTGGGTAGGCAAAAACCAGGTGGAAATCCCAAAATAGCACTGGGTTTAAGAGGCTAATGAAATCTTATTGCTAAGTGTGACCGATTAAATATTTAAAGCTGCAATCTTATACATATATTTATGTATTTATTTATACATACATACAGTTGAAGTCATTTTTTTTCCCTTTTTTATAAGTATTTCCCAAACGATGTTTAACAAAGCAAGGACTTTTTCACAGTATGTCTGATAATATTTTTTCTTCTGGAGAAAGTCTTATTTGTTTTATTTCAGCTAGAATAAAAGCAGCTTTTTTTAAATCACCATTTTAAGATCAATATTATTAGTCCCTTTAAGCAATATTTTATTTGATAGTCTACAGTACAAACCATCGTTATACAATAACTTGCCTAATTACCCTAATTTGCCTAGTTAACCTAATTAACCTAGTTAAGCCTTTAAATGTCACTTTAGCTGTATAGAAGTGTCTTGAAGAATATCTAGTCAAATATTATTTACTGTCATCATGGCAAAGATAAAATAAATCTTTTATCAGAAATGAGTTATTAAATCTGTTATGATTAGAAATGTGTTGAAATAATTTTCTCTCCGTTAAACAGAAACTGGGGAAAGAAATAAACAGGGGGATTAATAATTCTGACATTAACTGTATACACATACATACATACATACATACTTTATTTCTAAGTATATACAGACGCTTAATAAGGGATATGGTGTGAGAGGTGAATTTAGGAATTTTACACCCGTGAATATTATTATTTTATCAACTCTATTCAGTCAAATATAAATCACTCTTGCAGGTAGGTTTAGTTCTGTGACCGAATATCTTCAGATAAGAAACTGTTCCGCACTCAATCCTTCATTAAATAAACTGAAGCAGCTGAGGAGACAAAGGTTTCTGCTAAAAGCTTCTGTAAACCAACAGAAACTGGTTATTTTTCAATAGATGTATATGTTAAAACTTTAAAAATACCAACACACACACAGAGAAAGTCAATGTTTTCAGATTATTTTATTGGCTTGACAAATGTTACATGTATCTCCAAAGCATTTGTGATGTTTACATTAAATAGGACATATAAAAACAATTGACATAGTAGTGGTGGTTTTTCTAATAAATAATAATTAACAGCACATTAACAATCATCTGTAGGATAAAACAATAATAATAAATAGTTTATCTAATAGTCAACAGATTAAGATTCATTTATAAACAATTTAGAATCCTGTTTGTGTGCGCACACACGCGCTCCCAGCTGATGGTTGCTTAGCAACGACAGTCATAGAATGTGTTCTATAGTAGTTCTATGTTAGAACAGCGCATCTCAGTTTGCCAGCATTCAGGACGGTGACTTGGTAAATCACACAGTTACTGTACGAATTGACAAATCTGTGATTGTGAAGGACTCGTTCGCTATGGATACTCACTATAATCAGTCTTCAGACAACCCTCATCACGAGTGGTCATCGGTTGTTCTGACTTTGGACCCAGATGTGGACGAACAAGAACTGATTGAGTCAATGAAACAGTTCAGCCAAATCCACTCTTTGGATTTTTCTTTTGATGAAGACACTAATTGCAGACACATTTATGTGACTTTTGAGCATTCAGGACGGGACCAGCAACCAGATCCTGTGGTCCCCACGAGCCGCTTTATTGAGCTGAAGACACTGCTCGTGAGCAATCTGCACCCAATGGTCACCGAACAACAGCTTATTGAAAAGTTTGGTGCATTGGGGTCCATCTCGACTGTGCAAGTGTGCAGAAACAACATCATCTCTCCTGCTTATGCCTTTGTGACTTTCCATCATCGACGTGATGCAGTGCGAGCACAAAAAGCTCTGAACTTCACTGATTTACTGAATAAACCTCTGATCATCATGTGGGGCCCAGACAAGACAATTGAGGTCCTCTCAGATAATGACAGCAGCTCTCCAAGACAAACAGAGGAGAGAGAGACAGCTGGAGAAACAGAGGAGAGAAAAACCAGTGAAGAAACAGAGAGAAAGGCTGCTGGAGATACAGAGGAGAGAAAAACCAGTGGAGAAACAGAGAGAGAGGCCGCTGGAGATACAGAGGAAAGAAAAACCAGTGGAGAAACAGAGAGAGAAACCGCTGATAAAGTAGAGGAGAGAGCGAACAGCGAGTCTTCATGGGGAAGAAGGATCTCCAACAATGTGAAAAGTGCTGTGAAAGCTGCGGTGAGCAGTCCAGCAGCCTGGGTCGGAGTCGGCATAGGTGTCTGTGCTGCTTATGCCTACTTCAGGAGCAGGAGCTAGTGTGGACACATTCTAAAAGGTAATTTCATCTCATTTAAGTGACATGACATCTGACTGAGCTTAGTAACACTTCTGGAACATGCTGTATGTCACACACACAAATGTATATATAGAATTCTCTGTGGGTCAGAGGTCATGTTAATTAATACTCAAATTCAGCTTCATTTAGACATCGACACTGATTTTCTTGACTCTGTTCTCTTCCAGACGAGAAGGCCTGCCTCACGATCTCCACTCATCATCCCCAGAGTGACCAATCACTGCTCCAGAAAGAACTTGATGTCCCCAGCAGGCCAAACACTTGCAATAAATGTGAATTGAATAAACTGTCTTGTGTGTGTCTCATTCAGCAGTAAAGCTCAGCCTTGTAATTTATATCCATCCAAGAGAAGCTTAATAGCACTTTGTTCCAGACACAGAAGTAAACGATAGGATTTTTTTCACATCTATTGATGTGTTAGACAATAATTTACAGACCGTATGAGAAGGACTGCATCAAAGAACAATCAAATGTAGAATTGCAAATCAGGATTTCAATTATAATGTACAGTGGGTTCTAATAATGTCTGTACAGGAAGATATTCTAAAGAACGTCGGAAAAAAGCAGCTGTTGACTTCCATAGTATTTTTCGTTCCTACTATTGTGGGTTTTTTCTGTACCACTTTATTTTGTTGGTTAGATCATCTTTATTTTGAGTATTAGTAGACTGTCTGCTTAATATCTGCTGATTCTGCTCATTCAACAGACATTTAACTGACTAAAAGAAACTTTGCAAGTGCATGTCAACTTACCCTAACCCCAACCCAACAGTCTAATGAAAATTAGTTGGCATGTACTGTAGATACAATGTAACTTAAATTCAACAAACTGACCATCAAAATAAAGTTTGGCTGTTTTTCTTTTACAACATTTTTCAAAATATCTTCTTTTGTGTTCAACAGAAGAAAGAAATTCAAGGTTTGAGACCACTTGTGTGTGAGTGAATGATGAGTAAATGTTCATTTCTGTGTGAACTGTCCCTTAAACCAATGATTCTCAAAGTGGGGGTTGGGACCCCCCGAGGGGTCGCGGGACAATGAAGGGGGGTCGACTGTTGATTTCCAAAAATCGATTTATTTTTATTAAACCATAAGTATTACCATATTTTATCCATAACCTACTGAAGAGAAAAAAATAGTCGTTTATATCATATATAGTTACTATAGTAGCTTAGTGTTACTACTTCTATTGGATTGCAACCCTTAGGGTAATTACATTGTATTAAAGACAGCAATAGCGTCAGATGCAGCAGATTTCATAACACCCGGTTAAACTTTGTGGCCCATTTACAGCTCTCATACATTAAAAAAATTAAAAGAAGAATAGACTTGGGTCCATTGGTGTGTGTGCGCCATTGCATGCAAGGTTTCTGTATTTATAACCACCTCAGAGTATATTGGGGGTCACGAGTCTCTGGCATTGTCATTTTGGGGGTCGTGGCCTGAAAAGTTTGGGAACCACTGCCTTAAACGCTGGCTTAAAATATGTGATTTGTTTAAGAAATGTGGTTAAACATGCATGTTTCAGTGGAAATGATTTGAAGTATATTGTATGATGTAGATATTGACTTGTTACCACCTATTGGCCTTAAGTGATTCAGTCTTAAAGGGGACCTATTATGCTAAATCACTTTTATAAGTGGTTTAAACAGTTTTGTGGCAGCAGTGTGTGAATAACCAATGTGCAAATTACAGGGGGTTTGGGGAGGGTTTGACCCCCTCCAATATTGCTTGATCCCCTCTGAAGGACTTTAAAACAAGATGTATGAGAGGTGGGTCAGCACGTTAATAGTAAGAAAATGCTTTCTCTGATCTATGTCCTTAATATTAATAATAAAAAAGTATAATGTAAATATAGATTTGAGCGGTTCATAGCATTGTAAATGCATAATTGTGCCAATCAATGCTAGGAAAATATCATTCAACAGTCTGAAAATAGCAGCTCTTGAGGACCAATACCATCTCAAGTATTCACAAAACACATTTCTTGTAAAATACTGTAAGTGTTTATATCTGCATGTAGCCCAATAAAAAAAAAATGGACACATAATTTGTATAGTTTGACCTACAGTAACCTCTAAAAGTCACTAAATATCCCTCAAAACACTGAAAACGTATGCATTTTATTAATAAATTAAATGTTATTTAAATACATTCTTAAATTTGGTTTACTGAAGCATGTATTACCAAACTACTACCAAAAAATTTGGTACTACTACCCCCCACAGGTGCACATGCATTGATTTCCGACATGTTAAGTGGAAATGACTTGACAGTATATGGTAGTTCGTCATAAAAGCATGTTACTGTATACCACTGTAATCAGGCAATATATGAGTGATTAGGAAATAGCTTAAAACACTCTTGATAAAATCTTATTTGTCTTAATTTAACTGGGAAATAGGTCAATAATATTAGCCCCCCTATAATAAATATATATTTTACTTCCTTTCATTTATATAGCATTTTACGGCAGCCATATTGCGCAATAGCTGATTGGTGGAGAGGAGACAGATTAATATTAAGATTAAGCCAATTATAATATGGGGATGGTTAGGAGGCCAAATTTGGCCAGGATGTCAGGGTGAAACCCAAACATTTTTTAAAATCCCCTGGGATTTTTAACAACCACAGAGAGTCGGGACCTCATTTAGAAACTAACATTACTTCCAGCAGCAACCTAGCTTTTCTATGTGGTCTCCCATCCAGGTATTGACCAAACACAGCCCTGCTTAGCTTCAGTGGGCGACAATGTGAGAGCTGCCGGCTAGCTAGCTGTTTGATTGGCTACAGAATTTTAAGTTCGTTATACAATGACTTGTCTAATTGACCTAATTAACCTAGTTAAGCCTTTAAATGTTGCTTTAAGCTGAATACTACTATCTAGAGAAATAGCTAAGAAAATGTTATCCACCGTCTCCATAGAATTATTAAAGAATTATGTATAAGAGTTGATTTTGAAAAACGATTTAGAGTCTAAAAGTAAGTGATTGAAAATAGGGTCGGTGTGCGCACATCCTATGAAAACTTCAAGCAGGCGCTCGATCAAATGTGTGAATGATCTGCTCTTATCTCGATGTTTCTCAACAGTGCCAGAAGAGAAGTTTTTGACGCTGGAAGTTTTCCACAAGTTTACTCTAGACAGAGCCAAGCAGGACATCCGCAGTGTTTGGCGGGCGATCCTGGCCTGTGGATATGACCTGCACTTTGACAGGTTTGCAGGTTTTAAAATGATCTTTGGCTTCACCACATCAGCGCTCACATCACATATATCACAGAAAAACAGGCAACACAAATACATTCAATATCATCACATAAACCACATTAAAAACTCAATTATTAATGAAATTCTAATGGCAGTCGGCACAAAGGACATTTGATACACAGTTTTCGTTACTTGGGGCAGTCTAATACATCTTTTTCTAGGCAAAAGCCTAGATCCATTGATTCCCGACATGCTCAAAAAGCCAGCAGAAAATGGAGCTTTGAGATGGACTTTGCATTGGTGCAGTTTGTGAACCGTCTCAGCCGTCACCTGGCCATCACTCCTGCCTGTCTGCATACACATGAGGTTTACCTGGTCGCCAGCAAAAATGGCGCCAATCCTGAGGTTGCGTGTCTGTTAGGCAAGTCCATCTCTGTGTTATCTTGTTCACAGATGAAGAGTTCAGATGCAAAAGCCTGTCAAGGGCTGTCTATTATTATTATTATTATTATTATTATTATTATTATTATTATTATTATTATTATTATTATTATTATTGTTATTGTTATTTTATACAGCTGAAGTCAGAATTATTAACCCCCCTGTATATTTTTCCTGCAATTTCTGTTTAAGGGAGAGAAGATTATTCCAACACATCCTAATCATAATAGTTTTAATAACTCATTTCTATTAACAGATTTCTTTTCTCTGTGGCATAATGACAGCACATAATATTAGACTAGATATTCTTCAAGACTCTAGTAATCTGCTTAAAGTGACATTTAAAGGCTAAACTAGGTTAATTAGGTTAAAGTTATAATTAGGCAAGTCATTGTATATTAGTGGTCTGTTCACAATCAAAAAACAAATATAGCTTGGAGGAGCTAATAATATTGCCCTTAAAATGCTTTTAATCTAGCCAAAACAAAACAAATCAGACTTTAGAAGAAAAAATATTATAGGAAAAACGGTGAAAAATTCCTACATCTGTTAAACATCGTTTGGGAAATATTTAAAAAAGAAAAAAGGATGGATGTGCAGTGAATGTGATCGTTTCCCCACAGGTGTCCCAGTGGAGAGTTTGCGTCTGCTACCAGAACAGCATCGGCACGCTTCTGTGTGAGGCCAAAGGTCAGTATGCAAATAACAGGCAATCAAATGTAATTTTAATTATTGTTAATCCGGTAACACTTTAGAATAATGGTCCACTTTTTAATGTATTTAGTAATGTCGACCAAGGATGAATAGTCTTGTAAAGTATTTACTAATCATTGTTCATCATTTACTATTGCATTATTTATTCATTCGTTTTCCTTCGGCTTAGTTATGGAAATAGATTTGTTTCTTTTTTTTATTCAATCAAAAATATTTAGTTGTAAAGAAAAATTAATCACGTAGTAATTAAAAAAGAAAAGATTTCAAATAAAAACAGGTTTAATAAAAAAACTTATGTCAATGATAATAAAATATTTTGGTGACAAAGTCACTAAGTTGGCAACACTGCCGGTGACTCCGGTCCAATCGCGAGAAAATGTAATGGGCGTGGCCAACCTGTGACCGCAGTCAAGATTGGCCAACAGAACATGGTTTTTCAGAAGATCCCGCCCACTGAGGTGCAGTTTTCAACTCGCAAGCAAAGATTTTAGATCCGCAAAAAATGAAACAAAAGCAAAAGCAGAACTAATAAGCACACAATTAATTAATCTTGTGGTAACTGCATTAAATGGCAATAGTTAATTTTTTGCAGTGTAATTTTTTTATTTTAATGTTTTTTTTTATTATTTGAAATCTTTTATTTTTTAATTGCATTGTACCTAATTTTGGTCAAAAACTTCATGCTTGTTTGAATAATAGACACAAAATTAACCTCAGTGTACATGGGTTCAAAACTTTCAAACTCACAAGCAAAACATGTCAACCCGCAAGCAAAGAGTCTAGATGTGCAATAAATGACAGCAGAACAGAGAGCAAAATCAATGAGTGTGCAATGAAATTTGTGGAAACTGCATAATAGGACAAGTGTATTTAGCCTTTATAGTGAGTTTGGAATAATCCGATTGGCTTACCAATGATTACAGAGAGACCAGCCGCGATCAATCATATCACATGCTCCTCTCGAATTTAGTTTATGAAGCTT